TCCATCCAAAAGTCTAAGTTCTATTTCATTCATTGGTTTTTTCAAAAGTATAAGTTATATTTGTAGTCACTATATGGTATATTAAATTTTTTAGGAGAGCCCAAGAAGTCATTTTAGTACTTATTGGTTACATGTTCATCGATTTTATCACATGATGAATGAATTAATTACAAATTAGTCTTGATGAAAAAAAATAGGTATTAAACTTTTGGATAGAGGAAGAACAATCGACCAAACAAGATCTCACATCATAAGTCATCCAACTAACCAAACATTAGAGAAGAGTGCAGTATTACACCACTATAATCTCCGTCCCTAAATATAAGCGATTTTGGTTGGAGGTGAGAGCATCTCCAACAGTCTCTCTAAATGTCACTCTCCAAATATCTATTTGGCCAACTCTCCATCTAATTTAGCTAGTCAAACTCTCTTTTACTCCAACAGGCTTCCAATTCATCCTCTCTATGCTTATGCTGAGTCTATGATAATAGAGCCCACGTGTCAGTCTCTACGACTTTCTTCTTCCTCCACTTCTCTCAAAATCCCCTTCCCTCTCCCCTCTGTTGCCGCCGCCCCATCCCTATCCGCCCGCCGCCGATGCTCGGGCTCCGTCCACCGGTGCCCCTCTGGCCAAGCTCTTACCGGCCGCCTCATCTCCCTCAACCTCGCCGTCGAGCAATGCCGTCACTGCCACTCCCTCCCATCTCCAACCCACCCAGCGGATGAGGAGGCGGTGCCTCGAGTCGAGGGGGCACGTGGATGGGGAGCCGGCGGCGGCGACGCTATTTTCATGCGACGATGGCCGGCACCAGGCCGCTAGACGACGACGAGGATGGGCGCATGAGGCAACGACGGGATCCGCTCCCCGCCGGCCTTCCTCGTTCCTCCCTCGTCGGCTCGCCGTCGAGCTACCCCGTCGCCCTCATCATGCCGCCGATGGCCGACGCCGAAGAAGGACTCATGCGCCGTCAAGCCGCCCCGTCGACCCCGACGCCACCGATGGCCTCGCCATTTCGCCGTCGCGCCCTCGACTCCAAATGCCGCTGCCGTCGCCTCCGAACGCCGCCAGCGCGCGGCGAAGCCGCTCGTCGCCCCGATCCATCTCCCCTCGCGGTGCGTGTTTTGGGAGGAGGAATGCCCGTGGGGCTCACCGTTAGCCAATCACTTTGGCTGGTCAAATTTGGCTAAGGGAGGGAGTGTTTTGGCCAGCCGGCCATCCAGTTGGAGAGGCTTTTGGATGAGTAATTTTTGCTAGAGTAGCTAGCAGAGGTATTTGGAGAGGCTGTTGGAGATGCTCTAACACATCCTAGTACAACATCCTGGTATAACGAATCTAACATGAGTGTCCAGATTTATTGTAATAGGACATGGCACGTCCAACCAAAATCTTGGATGGAGGGAGTAGTGTAGAGCTGGCCAAATGGGCCGGGCCAAACGGGCGGCCCGGGGCACGGCCGTTCCTGTAGCAGGCACGGCCCGGCACGGCCTGCTACAGTAACGGGCCGTGCCGGCACGGCCCGTGTAGCCGTGCCGTGCTTGGGCCGTTGGCCGAGCCCGCGGGCCGGCACGGCACGGCACGGCTACTGTAGCAGGCCGGCACGGCACGGCCCGCGGCACGGCACGGCCCGGGCGGCCCGTCAGGCCGAAAGCGCCAGCGGCGCACTGACAGGGCGGGCGCGCGGTCGAATGGGAAGCCGCCACGTGGCACTAACGGCTATTTGACCGTTCAAATTTGAAAATAACCGTTGGGAGGCTAAAAAATTCATAAAAAATTCGAAAAAATTCCAAAAAATCTCAAATTTCGCCCTATAAATAGGGCATGAACCCCAGCCATTTCTCCTCATCCCACACTCCTCATCTTGTGCTCTCAAGTGTTTTAAGTGCTCTCTTTGTTCTCAAGTGTGCATTTTTTTTTATTTTGACAAAATTTGCTCAAATTTTGTCAAAAATCAAAATTAATTTCGTAGTTCAACAGTTTGATCGCAGAGGTTTGAAGAGCTCGCGGTTGGAAAGATGTAAGTAATATTCAAATTTGTGTATTATTTGTATTGTGTTTGTGAATTCAATAAATATTCGAAAATTTGTTTATGTCGGTTTAAATTTTCAGAATGGATCCGAACTTTCCATACCAGTCGCCGTCGTTCACCTTGGGTGATTTCGACCCCAACTACATGTCGGGGTTTGACGGTACCTCCGGATCGGCTCCAACTCCACCATCTGTGGAGGAGGTACCGGTTCATACGGCTGTCGTTGAGGAGGTACCGGTTCAGGCGGAGACAGCTTCGGAAGGATTTTCCGGAACCGCGAGCGGAAGTGTTTCGACACACACCGGCTCGAAGAGATCGAGAACCTCCGGTGTGTGGCAAAGCTTCGACGAGATAAAGGAAACATGCCCCGACGGAAGGGAGGTATCGAAAGCCCGTTGTAGAATATGTAGGCAAATTTTATCTGCTCGTTCTTCTGGTGGTACAGGTCACCTCAAGCGCCATGCGGAGTCGTGTGCCAAGAAGCAAGGAATACAACTCCGGCAGCAGCAACTTATGCTAAACCCAGACGGTACGGTACGCAGTTGGGAGTACGATCCCATGGTTGCTCGGGAATCTCTTGTCCGGTTAATCGCCAGGCAAGATTTACCCCTGAACTTTGGGGAGTCCCCTGCTTTTGAACATTACATTCAGCAATCTCATAACCCTAGGTTTAAAGCTGTGAGTAGGCAAACATCAACTAGAGATTTAGAGAATGTTTATCACAAGGAAGCAACTGCACTTAAGGAACTGTTTAGTACATGTATTTTCTCTGTTTGTGTTACTTCAGATATATGGAGTAGTAGAGCTAGAGAGGATTATCTTAGCGTAGTTGTTCATTTTGTTGATGATGATTGGCAATTACAAAAGAGAGTTTTAGGGCTTAAGTTAATAGATGTCTCACATACAGGAGAAAACATAGCTGAAAGAATTAGGGAAGTAATTAATGAATTTAATCTTGCTGATAAAATATTTGCTGTCACCCTAGATAATGCATCTGCTAATTCTAGAGCTATTGAAATATTGCAACCTTTATTTTGTGTGTATGCTCAATCTTTTCTACTCCATCAGCGTTGTGCATGTCATATAATTAATTTGATTGTTAAGACTGGCATGAAGAGGGTAGGTGACCACATCGATGCTGTTCGTCAAGCAATCGCGTGGTTAACTGCTTCTAACCCGCGGATTGCTGCATGGAAGAGGTTTTGCAATGCGGCCGGTGTGGAAGCTCGTAAGTTTGCCACCGATGCAGAGCATCGGTGGAATGCAACGTATTTAATGTTAAAAGTTGTTTTACCTTATAGTAGTTTACTTTCTGATTTTGTTCAGTCACGTGGTGGCCCAAGAAACAGTGACGGGTCTTCAGTACTGAACGAGCATGTTTGGGCAATTGTCCAAAAATTTTACCAATTTCTAGAAACTTTTTATGATTGTACTCTAACTTTGTCACATGTTTATTATCCAACTGCTAATATAATTTTGCACAACCTTCTTGAAATTGCTACTTTATTTAAAGAATACGAAAATGATGACGTTCTAACTGAACCTGTCTTTCACATGAAACAAAAATATTTGAAATATTGGAAAAATATACCTATGTTGTATGCTCTTGCTTTTGTTTTAGATCCTAGGTGTAAATTAAGGGGATTGTCTGCTATTTTATCACTTGTTGGAGATACTATAGGTGTAGATTATAGTTCTTTTTATACTGAGGTTAGACGTAAATTATATGAGGTTTTTGGAAGATATGAAGTAAAGTTTCAGGAAGTTCGCCAGCGGAGACCCCCTCCTATCCCCACTACAGGTAAGAAGAAGATACAGTGGGGTAGGATTTGGGGTGGATCGTCTTCAAGTTCAATCCAAGGTGGTGGCAGTTCGTCGGCTACAAGTGGAGACGCCTCTTCGCATGTTGTGGCCGAAGAGTTGTCCGGTTATTTGGACAGCGACGCCATCCACCACGAAGCACAAGATTTCAACGTCCTCGGGTGGTGGAATGACCACAAGATAACATATCCTGTGCTTTCAAAACTAGCACGGGATGTGTTGACGGTGCCCGTGTCGACGGTGTCCTCCGAATCGGCCTTCAGTCTATGCGGCCGAATCATCGAAGACCGGAGGACGACTCTGCGCAGCGACCACGTCGAAATGCTACTAAGCGTTAAAGACTGGGAGCTTGCTCGACAACATGCCCAATACACTGCGGACAACCAAGAATTGGCCGCCCACTTCGAGCAACTCTACCTGGATCCAGACCAACCCCAGTAGAATTTTGTTAGAAGTAGTTCTGACCTTTGAGCTGTACTCTTTTCTTTGTCATGGTTTTCTCATTTTCCCCTATGAGTTTTTACATGACAAAGTTTTTAACGAGGCAGCATGTATCATTGTATCCTGTAATGATATAAACATTAATAAAGGTCATTACTATTTTTAACAAATTCTTTTGCAATATTTTCGCAAGTGTGGATTTACCTTTAAATTATTTCAAAATAATGAATCACAATCTATATTTTTAAATTTTTCAACACAACAAAAAAATACCATTTTTTCTTTTTTTTTAACATTAGCAAATCATTACTTTTTTAAAAAACTTTTATTTCTATTTTTTAAATACCATTTTTTCATTTTTTAACATTAGTAAATCATTACTTTTTTTTAAACATTTTATTTCCATTTTTAATTTTTTTTTCCTTATACATTTCCTTTGCTTTTTTTAAAAAAAAAAAACACTGCGCACAGTGCACTGCAGGCTGGCGGCCTGCCTTCACGGGCCGCCGTGCCCCGAACGGCCCGTGGGCCGCGGGCGTGCCGTGCCGGCACGGGCACGGCCCGGCCATCCACGGGCCGTGCTTGGGCCGGCGGCTCGGCACGTGGGCCGGCACGGCACGGCCCGTTTCATCAGCCGTGCCTAACGGGCCGTGCCGAAACGGGCCGTGCCGGAACCGTGCCCGTGCCGGGCCGGGCCGTGCCGCCCGTTTGGCCACCTCTAGAGTAGTGTGTGAGGCGGAGATGACCAGCCACCGACGCCGCACCACCTCGCCGTCGCCGGCGCAGGCGCAGCCACTGGAAGACGACGACCTCCTCTCCGAGATCCTCCTCCGCCTCCCGGCGAAGCCGTCCTCCCTCCCCCGCGCCTCCCTCGTCTGCAAGCGGTGGCGCCGCGTCGTCTCCGACGCCGTCTTCCTCCGGCGCTTCCGATCCCACCACGGGAAGCCACCCCTCCTCGGCTTCTTCAAGGTCAGCTACAGAAATCCCATCTTCATCCCCACGCTGGACCCGCCGGACCGGATCTCCGCGGCGCGTTTCTCCCTGCAGCTCCCGCTCCCCGGTGGCGGCGGTGGCAGCCCCCCGGTTTTTGGTCACTTTTACCATATGTTCGCATTCCGCCACGGCCGCGCCCTTATCTACGACCGGAGCTTGTTGCAAATCACGGTGTGGGATCCCGTCACCGGCGACCGGCGCGCCGTTGATATCCCCGAGCCGTTCGGTCGCCGGCCGGCGTACGTCTCCAACTGGGCGATGCGATGCGTGGATGGGCATGTGCACGGCGGCTGCCACTCCAGTCCCTTTGAGGTGGTGGTAATAGGCTTCAATAAGTACCGGAGGCGGCTTTTCACTTGCGTTTACTCATCCGACACCGGCAATTGGGGCAAGGTCATCTCAAATGCGTTTAATTTTAGGGGGCACAAGACTCGTTCTAGTACCCCTGGTTGGGAATTTTTTTTATTGCTTGTTCCAAAGTGTTATTGGGACCGTCATCCTTCAGTTTGATTTGGATACACAAATACCAGCCTAGATCGATGTGCTACCAGAAATGCATGGCGATGGAGGTGACCAGATTGCACCAGCAGAGGATGGTGGGCTTCTCTTCCTTGCTGTGCGGGATTTTAGTCTCAATCTATGGAAGCATAAGATCAATAGTGACAGTGCTGCTGCTGGATGGGTGCTGGAGAAAACTATTGAACTGGACAGGCTCCTTCCTTTCGAACCAAGGCCTGATACTGATACACCGGCACCAATGAATATTCTGGGCTTTGCTGAGGAACATAATGTGGTATTTCTGGCAACAGCTATTGGTGTCTTCATGGTTAATCTGGAGTCTGCAATTTAAGATTCTTCCCCAAGCCCCGGGAGTAGGCATCTGTCATCCATTCACTAGTTTTTATACTAAAGGTAATTATTTGCCATGCCTTTTACACTGTACGTATAGAAAAATCATGTTGTTTTCGATTGCTGGTTGCTTGTTAATGCCTTATTTGCTCAGTGACATTTATTGTTCCTTTAACTGCTTGGTTCCTTGATGAACTGTCCTACATATGACATATCATTTCCAATATTATTCTTCAATTACATGGTCTGTAATTGAGAAACGGATAATCTTTTTTGAACTTAGCAGATCCAAAATATTCACTACCTCCATTCCAAAATATAAGTATTTTTAGAGTTGGACACTAGTATTAAGGAAACTAGGAAGTTAGCTCGTATTGTTGCGCACGCATGTATCGTATGCCATGTTTATAAGGGTGGAAACTGGATTAATTATGCCACGATTCAAAAGTATGATTTCTCACCAAAAAAAATTGTTCATCAGTATTGATTAAAAAAAGTTGTGGAGAAACCTTAACTATATAGGATAAAGGGAACACCATTAGCATCTAAGCAGTTATTCTTTTTCCCGAATACGCATCTAAGCACTTACAATGCTATGCTTATAGAGATGGATGTTTCAAGCTAAGTAAAATAGGTTCTCTCTAAATTAGATCACTTTACTCCCTATTGATATAATTAATTTTCTATTTTATTTTATACTGGTCTTATTTTATCTTTTATATTTTGTGGGATGATAAATAGTTGCACAATGTTCCACCTTATGTATAAACTTTTATTTTTTAAAAAAAAATGGCTTTTGTATAAGCAGCTAAGACTAATATATGTTCTCACTGTTTAGTGAATTGGGTGGGGGCCGGACAACCCATATGAGAGTTTCATGCAGAGAGGCTCCACGTAGTCAAAAATGAACACGATCAAATAGCTAAATATAACTACAAACACGATCAAACAGCTAAATATAATTCCTGAAAGGGTCAATTAGGCCTAGAGGGGGGATGAATAGGCTAATTCAAAAACTTAAGTAAATGCGGAAGCAACACTTTTCGGAAATTCCGAAAATGATTTTCGGAAATTCCAAAAATAACATAGCAGGCGCAACTGAAATGAAATGCTAGATCTAGCTGCCTACACAAAAGAAATACTAGCACAAACAACAATAGACTTATAGCGGCGCAAACAAGCAAAGCTAGAGGAGGGAGAAAGGGATATCATTGACGTTGATGCAATATGAGATGTTCCCGAAATTCGAATCCTTGAGGGGATTCTACTCTCTATTGAGGAGCCGGGTCTTCGCTAACCCTTTCCTTAAGAGATTGCACAAAGCACTCCTCCTTCCACTAGTGGTTTCTCTTCCCTTTCGGAGGTGAGATCCGACCTTCACAAACTTCTCTTGGCCAACCACACGTAGATCGGTGACTCAAGAGTGACCTAGCCATCTAGAAGTCCTTAACCTCCAAGAGTAATAAATGATGCAAAGAACTCCCGGGAATGATGCAAGTGCTCAAAAATCTTCACGAAGACAACACCAAGCACTCACACAAGCTCGAAACCACAACTCTCACACACACCAAATCCGAATCAAACACGGGTGGAGAGGGGAATCAAGCAAGCAAGGCTCAAAAGTAAATCTCAAGAGTAGTAAGCCAAGGGCACAAGTTTTCAATGAGAGCAGCAGCCTTGACTTGGTGAGAGGAGGCTATCTATAGCCACAGCTTCATATCTGCCCGTTATGTGCAATAATTCCATTTTTCGGAAATTCTGAAAATTAGCATCGGACAAGTCCGAAAATCTCCAGAACAGCAAACACAGTGAAGTCCAACTAAGTTTTTCGGAAATTCCGAAAACATTTCGAACAAATCCGAAAATATCCAGAACCAAAATTGCCTGCTAGATATTTTCAGAAATTCCAAAAATTACTTTCGGACATGTCCGAAAATATACATAAGCGGTTTTGGCTGCGTAGACATTTTCGGAAATTCCGAAAATCTCTTTCGGACAACTCTGAACTTCACTGCCATTTTCGGAAATTCTGAAAGTCAGTTTTGGACAAGTCCGAAAATTTACAGAACCGTTTTTCGCTTCACGGCCATTTTCAGAAATTCCGAAAATCGGTTTCGGACAAGTCCGAAAATTTCTAGAAAATAGACAGAACTGAGTTTCGCTTCTAGAAATTTTCGGACTTGTCCGGAACCGATTTTTGGAATTTCTGAAAATGGCAGTGAAGCGAAAAACGGTTCTGTAAATTTTTGGAAATTCTGAAAACCTGTTTCAGACAACTCCAGAAAATTCCAGAACAGAGAAAATGAGAAGAAACACTTTGAAAAATTGATTTTTGAGCACCCACATCACTCATCATCAATGCATCACCCCCCCTAATAGTACGGCTTTCCTAAAGACACAAAGAAATTAAAATGTACAATATACCCTTTGCTCATATGCCGCATCGCTTGGATTTGTAGCTATTATCGAGTTTGGCATGGAAACATGGTGCGCCGAGAACTAACAATCCTCACATCTACTCAAACGAAAATGTTAGTCGTCTCTAATCGCATTGTTATTAATCACCAAAATCATTAGGGGCCTAGATGCACTTTCAATTCCAAAACAACCCTAAAAATATTTGTGTTCAAAAGACTCAATAAATTCTTTCAAGATAAATTTGTAATATTTTTTTGTGTGCATCTAGTATACGTTTAACTCCTGATCATTGTGCCCCATGTTACGAAACTTCTGTAGATACTGAGATATGGTGGTTGCACCTATGAAAATTGTCATGTGTTGTGTTCACACTCTTGATCAAGTTTAGTTAGTCCTATTTTCCATACCTTGGTATATCATAAAATCTAAATGAATCTTAAAGTTAATCATTGTGTATATATGCAGGACAAATATGTTCGTGGCATGTTAATGCTCATATCTAGAGATGATTAACCTTTTAATTGGTTTGTGCAGAAAGAAAATAAACGGACTTATGTTCTTACCCTAAAGGTATATAAGCCCATTGCCACATACATGAGGATCTATCTATAATACATTACAAGTCTGTTAAACATCATCTAAAATCGATGAGATGGTAACGTTGAGTATGTATTAAACTAAAATCTAATATATTCTTTGAATTTATAATTATATAGCTAGCTAATTATTGAATTCTTTTGTATTAAATTTTGCTAGCTAGCTAGAAAACCGGAATATGGAAGGAAGGAAAGGAGAAAATATAGGTGTAGGCTAGATGGGGAATGTACATACTTAGGCGTGTACGTACGTGTGAAGAGGAGGCCTGGATGGAGGGGCCGGGGTGGAGGTGGAGATCCACGGGATGGGTTTTGGGTTTTTTTGTCTTTTTAAAATTGATCTGTATAATCTAGTGGTGTAGCATAATGGGTCCACCGTATTAAGTAAAATCGAGGGCTAGATGTTTTTTTTTTCTCAGAATTTCTAAGATTTTTTATAATTTATTAGAGCGCCATATGGCAACTTAGGAGTGTTTATAGGACGTTTAATGGACTTTTAGTATATAATAGATAGATAGATAGATTGGTAGAATTAAATGGGGGAAGGTTGTGACTGGTTGACGAGAAAGTGGATGAATAATTTGAATGGCGGAAGATTTTGATCGGTTGAGAAGAGAATATAGGTAGAGAAGTTGTTATATTTGGGACAAATTTTGAGTGCTACAATTTATTATATTTTGGGATAGAACGAGTAAATAATAACAGTTTGCTTAATTTATTCTCATGCCGTTCTGCGTACTGCATAAACTGTAGTCCTAACATTGCTATAGGATGTTGGGTGGTAAATTTGTATTGTGTATTTTCTTAATGTTTCTTCATGAAGGTGCATATTTGAGTAGTATTATTTAAAAGCTCGGTTTTGCTTCCTGACATAACATAGAGTGACTATATCACCTCTTGTAAGCGAAATAATGTGAACACGCATGTCCTGCATTTTGGTTTATGATGTGTAATTATGGGGATTTGGCCTAACTTTGCTGACCATATGACTATGGCATGAATTTATATCGGTGACTCGTTGCTCATCTTGTGATGTTTCCGTTTGCCTATGTCATTAACAAATTGGCTTTTGTTTTGCTTATTGACGGCAGAACTGTTGCCCCAATGATGAATGACCCTATAGTATTTGATTATGGTGGTTGTGAGAGCTATGCTTGGTGATTTTACCGAGTTTTGGATGACTAACTACCTTTGCCTATGAAGCTATATATGTCAGTCCTAGTAGGTGTTGTGTTGCCTCGTGTGCCTGATATATCTTGGCTTGTTAATTAATGACAATGTAAGCATGTCTAGGTGTTTTATGGACACCTTCGTCCTTGGTTCTGTACAGTGACACCTTGTGTCTTTTTGTGTTTGCTGGGAACATGTGACTATATGTTCTCTGTCTAGTGGATGAAATCTGAATAATCACTTCACTTTGGTAACGTGTCATTTGTGATATGTGTGTGTCCATTTGTCGCCCAGGACTCCAGGAGAATAATCAATCAGTTTGATTATTGTCCCGGGTGACAAATGTGGTGGAATATTGTGATCGTTCTTTGTTTCCACTTACTAGCAAGAACCTAGAGCCTGTTCCTGTAATTTGTTTAGATTTTGTAACTTGGTGATTTCTGTTGTATTGCAGTTCATATTGGTTCAAGATGTGTATTAAGTTTTATGGAGTTGCTTAAACTTAAACTTATAGGAGTTAATCTACTGAAGATTCTCATGCCAACATCCCAAAGTTGACACTTCTCTAATGGCCACGTAACATTAAAGTTTCTTTTATCTATACTATAAGGGCAAGTTTCATGATAGAGGTAGTGGTCACATCTAATTTTGTCTAAATCATCTACATATTAATTTAGAGGTAATACATACAATAGATTGCATCTCCTTACACTAAACCCAATACATTTACTACCAATCAACTTCTCTCTTTCTCTCTTATTTCTTGAAATTGGTGTGGAGGTTGTCCCTTGTATGAGGGGTGGCTGCTCCTCTCTCTCTTCTCCTCTGCTCCATATCATCATATGATTCTATATGGCATCTTGGAATTAGTGATAAGGGGCTCATAATACTTGCCCTAATAGAGCAACTTGATCTACCCGTCCGATCCACTCGAATTAACGCATGGGATTGAGTTTTGGATTCTCCGAAGGAAACAGGCAATCCTCCTTCGGTCCCACCCCTAGCGCTCACGCTCGCGCACGCACTCCGCCTCCACCTCCCCTTTAATCGGTAACGGCGCTCCACGTTGCCATCGCCGCTGTGGATTGACCCATCGCCTTCCTTGCCGGCAACCACGCTCCTACCGCCGTCGCTTCCCCTCTCCCGTCTACGCTAGCTCCGCCTTTCCTTAACCGGTAACCGCGCTTCCCCTCGGCATAGCCGCCCACTGCGCTCTGCCTCACCATTGCCCCGCCTGAACCCGCTGTGGACGACTGGCCCTCGCCTTCCCTCGCACTCACCCAGCCTAAAAGCTGCAAACTGGATCGCCGCTGCCGTCGGCACCGATTGACCCCTCGACAACGGCTCGGTGTCGATGCTATTACGCCTCCGCGCACTGACCAGCGATTTGTGTAAATGCCACTTCAATCCTCTTCAATTCACTGACCAGGTGTGTTATGGACTTTTCAATTGCTACTAAAACATACCGTGATCCCTACACACGATCAAACTGATATATTTTACTGAGTTATTGGTATCCTCAATGGCATGTCTTTGTTCTGTTCCTTTACTACAAGTTTAAAGTGTACACCCATCAGTTATTGTATACCCAAATTGAAGAAGATCGAAAATGATACGGACACAATTTGGGTTCAAGTAGTGGCATGTTTATGTGCTTGTTAAAAAACTGCAGATAATCATGGTATTTGAGCACCTAATTATTGTTCCATTTGTCGTGGATCTGATGCCTCCAATCCTCATGTGTTATTCTCTCTATCTGATCCGGTTTGGCTGAGTTGTTTATTCATGAATGGATGGTCCAATTTGGTTCAGCACCCTGGTTCATCCGATTTCCTACTCTGGTTTTTAGTGTTATTTACTTTTAGAAAGATAAGTTTACCTGAACTTTATTTTTCGGTATTAACTGTGATTCAATCGGTAGTGTTTACAATATTGCAGAAGTTGAGTCGAAATATTTTTTTGAATTAGTGCTGCTTTCCACTGTTACTATAGACAATAATATAGATTGTTTACTTGATTGAATATGTGTCGACGTGCCTTGCACGGCCCGTTAAGTAGTTTAAATAATATACAAACACAGATGATCACAATGCGCACTCATCCTCATGAATGCACACACGAACCAACATCTGAGCACACACAGGACATTAAGGTCTCCTTTATTTGCCAAAGTTTTACAATGGATCATGATTAGACTCATCTTTTCACTAAACACCATATAAACTATCATCCATTGCATCTTGGATTGGGGTTTTGCAATTTGGTATAGCACTGCACGTTGGCTTTTGCCCAAGGGAGTATCTAAAAAAAGTAAAAAACTGCTGCATTTTTTTTATTGAAAACCTACATATGTAACTATAATCGAAGTGTAATTACATTGTAGCTGCACTATAGCTGTATTGTAACTAGAACTACAATATAACTTATATAAAACTCATATTTAACTATGGTTTGGTTGGCTAGCACCGAGATCTTACATGTGACAAGTGTAAAATTTTTGTTCTAGCATATTTTTCCCCTTCATGCATAATCTCGAGACGATTCGATAGTCACAAATCTAAAAATTTTGGGGTCAAAAAACATACTGAAGTTTTCTAGCAATTCCGTATCCACCCATGCACAAAGGCGTAGCTGGTTGAAAGAAGAAATAGGAGTGTCATGGCCTCGTGGGGCGGTGGGAAACGAAGACGAGCGACGCAGCCACGCACGGCCATGGCGCGAGGGCTCCCATTTTCCTCAGTTATCGGTGATTTGGTGGCACATGCTTGGGCCGTCAATTGATTGGATAACGTGAACTAGCTGGGTGGCCCACGCAATTGCGCGACTAGCACCCATGTAAATTATATAATTTTTTAATATGATTTTACTTAAAATTTATTAAATAGTTATCTCGTTGTCTTAAGATTTTGAAAGACCATGCCTTATCATCCTAATCTCTCTAATTTTATATTTTGAAAGTCACACCAATTGCTACCCCTTATTTCTGTCATATCCTTCTTTATTTGCTTGCTCGATCTGTTTCTATTCATTCTCCTTATAACCTTTAAAAATTGAATCTAATAATTTTTAGAGTTTATTGTCCGGTTAGGCTTCATCTTTATCATTTACTCCCTCCATTATATAATATAAGGCACAACCACTTTTTTTAGATGTTCCATAATATAAGGCATGCATGCATGCATGCCATTAACTATGACATATTCTCCATTAAATTACTACTTTTTAAAATCCTTCACTCTCACATTCTCTAACTCTATTGGATGCATGCATTACATTTATTAGGATAATCTAAACTACAAGATGATAATAACTATTTCTTGGTCTTTAGGTTAAGGTGGTTGTGCCTTATATTTTGGAATGGAGGGAGTATACTTTATAGAAATCCTGTCAAACGTTGTCATTATACTCCTCTACGGCCGTCCACTGGCTCTTCTCTTTATTATCATTAGTATTTTAAAAATCGAACATAATTATCGTTTATGTTCATTTTTTACTTTATAAAAGTTCTGCCAAAACATTAGCGACTTTGTCATTGTACTCCTCTACGGCTCGCCCGCTGCCGCCCTTCTTTATTGTCATTGAGATTTTAAAATCAAACATAATTATCATTGGGTTTTTTTTTTTACTTTTAGAAGCACAAACCTTAAAAATCGGACCTTATAATTTTTAGAACTTATTGTCTTTGGGTTTCAGGTTTTTATAATTTTTAGAAATCTCGTCAAACGTTGCCACTGTACTCCTCTACAACCCGCCGGCCGCCTACTCTTTATTGTTATTGGGATTGTAAAAATCGAACATAACTATCGTTTGAATTTATTTTTTTACTTTCTAGAAGTCCCATCAACCATCGGCGGCTCTGCCCGCCGCCATTGTACTCCTGTACGACCCGCCCGCTGCCTCTCATTTTTATTGTCGTTCAGATTTTAAAAATCAAATATGATTATCATTAGGGTTTTTTTTTATTTTTACTTTCTAGAAGTCTTGCCAACCGCCTTGACCGGTTGCTTCATGACCTGCCCGTCATCCTTCCTTTTAATTGTCATTTGGTGATTTATTAATAGTTCTTAGATGTCCCTTCAACCGCCACCACTCTACGCCTTTATAGGCCTATTACTTAATTAATCTCGTCGTATGTTTTAGATAGTCTTTTTCTTTCAATAGTCTTTATTTTTTATCACCAATTTTAGTTATTTATAAATTGTATTCCTAGTTGAAATCTTATCTTTCTTTTTCAAATTTCAGAATTTATTTTATCTTTTGTTTCGAATTTTAACTGATATCGTATTGTGTTCTTTTAATATTTTTATTATTTTTTATTTTAAATTTCAGTTGTTTCAAATTTGTATTCCTACTTGTACTCTCTTTTTAATTTGTCTAATTTTAGATTTTATTTTATTTTTTTTATTCAAAAATTTAATTAATCTACTATTGGATTCTTATATGTACTCTTATTTCAATATTACTTATATTTAATTCCGAATTTCAGTTAATTTTAAATTGTATTACTACTTGAACTGTTTTTTTTCTTTTCCTTTTCTAATTTCTAATTTTTTTTAATTTTTTTGAATCTTAATAATCTCGTATTGGGTTTTTATATGGACTATTATTTCAATATTGCTTAATTTTAATTCCGAATTTTTGGTTATTTTTAAATTGAATTTCTACTCGAACTCTTCTTTTCCTTTTTTTAATAATTTTGGATTTTATTTTTTTTCTGAATATTAATTAATCTCGTATTGGGTTCTTATAAGGACTCTTCTTTGAATAGTGCTTATTTTTAATTTCGAATTTCAGTTATTTTTAAATTGTATTTCTAGTTGAACTCACCTTTTATTTTTCTTTTTTAATTCCGATTTTTAGATATATCTAAATAGTACTCCTTCTTTATTCTGAATTTTCATGATTTTTTAAATTTATTTGGAATTATTATTGAAAACCATTTTTATAATTACCTAGTATAGTTTCTACAGCCTTGTTTTTTTCTTTTTATGGAAGCAGCAAGTCGGAGGGGTCTTGAAGTCAAATCCGAGTCTCATTAGTCCCAAGCCACGCATGGAATCAGATTAGTACTAACCTTTAATTTCTTTTAAAACTGTGTCATACGGACTCCAAAACATATTCGAAATCTAGATTTCTATAGTAGTGTGATCAATCTCCACCGTTATAATCTATGTCCATCATGATCCAACGCGGTTGAATTTTCTATTTTTCTTCGATTAATGTGATAATTTCTAGTCTCCACAGCGAATATGGTGCCTCCTTTCAAAGCTGTTTTAATAATATAATAGATAGATAGATAGATAGATAGATAGATAGATAGATAGATTGGGACATTGGAGCATTGGATTGGTGGTCGTGAAGGATCAACAAGATCATCAGGGAGTAGGAGAGGTCGTGCAGATTTAGACTGAAGGGACATGGATGACTAGAGGTTGTCTAAGTCATGATCCCCGGTCTGAAGCGCAAAGGATTGTTGTTGAGCGGAAACATAGGTCTAATCCTAATCCATGATGAAACTACTCCCTCCATTCCAAAATAAGTACAGTTTTACACTATTCACGTTAACATTTGATCGTTTGTTTTATTTGAAATTTTTTTATGGTTAGTATTTTTATTGCTATTAGATCATAAAACATGAATAGTACTTTATGTGACTAAATATTTTCAATTTTTTCATAAATTTTTCAAATAAAACAGACGGTCAAACATTAGGCACGGATATCCACGGCTGCCCTTATTTTGGGACAGTGGTAGTAATAAAGATCGTCCGAAGTGAAATCTACTCAACATTAATTAAATCTACAGTTTTACTTACCAACCCCGCTGCTGTAGCGAGTATTTTGTACCAAAAATTTCCTGTAGTTTTAGAAACAGCTGGTTTCCAGTAGGATGTCTAAAAGCGCGGCAGCAACAATGATAAGTGATCAATGACCTTAAGTTAAAAAAGATCTAAGGGCCTATTTGGATTGTTACCAAAAACATGCCCTACCAATATTTTGGTAATTTGAATAGTAGTTGTGTTTAATTTGGATCGAAGCCTATTCATTGGTAATACCTAATTTAGATTTGGTATCATCTAGAATATTCTTCACTACAATTTTACATTTTAGCTATATATTGGTAGCAAACCAAATATGATCAATGCAATCTTACTTTACCAAAGATTTGGTAGTGCCAAAACTTGCCTACATTTTGGCACTACCAAAAAATTGGTAGGGTAACAATCCAAATAGGCCCTAAATACATCAGGTTACAAGGCCAATTCTTCCAATACACTTATCTTACAAACATGTTATGCCAAAAGGCACAGCAAAGCAAAAGGTTGCATTTTAAGAAAGCACCACTTTAGTTTTGCTCTTCACTTCTTGTCATCTCTAAGGACGACATAATTGTGGCCATTAGTCTTCTGAATCTTCGATATTTTCTTCAGAATTTCAGCAAAAGCATTCTTGTCCTGCGGTGCGAAAACAATCAACGTTAAAACATGCACTAGCTGAAAGGCAAACCATAACGGCTATGGATATAGTTTCATGTGTGGCTGCGGCCTCCAAGATGCAATTTTTAATCATTAATTCTTATAATTTTATGTTAATATATACCTTCATAGTATTATTTTCAATAACAAATCTATTAATATGGCTTTCATCACCAAGATAGAACCAAACATAATAATGAGCAAAGTTTGACAGCATTTATTCTAAAAGGTCAAACTAATGGGGGAGGGGATATACCATAGAAATAGGGCAACCTACTGAAATATATAATGAAACACTACTATGATATTTATAGCCTTTTTCATTTTAAGATTTGAGGGATAATGCATCAAATACGGCTACATCAAAGTGACAACCTTCCTTTCCGATAGACCTATCCCACAAAGCCCTCAGGCTCAAGAACAAAAGGTATGTTCATACATGATGTTAAAAAATACCACAAATAAATCCTTCACATACTAATGAAGTAATGAGTTCATGACAAATCAAAAGAATTCCTAATGTGTACTTAGAAAATAGGTCCATGGCCAATTTTGCCATAACTAAAGTTAGGTAAATAGGAGCTAATTCCATGGCCAACTTTGCCATAACTAGCTAGACTTACGTAATTGTGGTATGCTAACAAAATTGTGGCAAACAAATGATAGTCAGAGTTCATAAAAAAGCTGACATGGCCAAAAGAAATTTTACGACAATGAACTGAAGCAATTATGCAACAAATGCTGGTGCTGCTCAGATTAGACGTTGCAACCATAGCCAACAGAGCAATGCCCCATTTAGTTCCATGGGTAGCCAAAGGGGCTTTGGAAAATGGAACTGGAGTACAGGATTGAAACCAGTTATCAGCAAAACCAGTCAATGCAAACAGGTTTCTCTGTTTCGAACATTTTACAAGATAGATACTTAGATAGCCTCATGCCATTCTGGTATAAAAGATGAATTGAACAAGCAATTTTAGGTGCAGCATGCGAATATAGATTGGGCTACCATAAATATGACCAGAGCAAAGTAAACAAAGAAATTGAACAAATCTACCTCTGGACTCCATAGTCCAGGGGGGTTTTGGTTGTCAGTCAAAGCAATCAACATGTATTTTCTTCTTCTCTAATCTCTACATGATTCACTAAGATTAATAACTGTGCCTTTGGGTGATTACTTGAATTTAAAAGATTTGTTTGAATTAGTATCCAAAATAAATAAAAACGGAAACTGACAAAACCTACCTCTGGACCTCGTAGTCTAGACTTAAATCTAGATACCAAATCTTGTGTAGTGACAGGAGCAACAGCAAGAAGAACAGTCCTGATTTCATCCTCTGTGACAGGAGATACATTTGCACTAGTTTTTGATGCAGCAGTGGCCTTCGATGCAGGTTTTGAGGAAGATGGTGTCTCATCTTTGGCCACTGATGGTTTTGTATCCTAAAAATAATGAAAGGATTTATCATTTAGAGACTAAATCAAAAGAAGTATTCTTGATAATAGTGTGTAAGAACTTACAGATTCCACCTTTGCTTTTTTGGAAGCTGCACCGCCAGATGCTTTTGAATCATCACCACCACCTGATTTCCTCTTTTGCTTCGATTTGGATGCAGGAGGTGTGCCACGAGCATGTCCTGATGGTGTTGGTTTAGCGGGGCTGTTATCTACAGGTTCATCTTTGGGTTGATCCTTCTGTTTTGGAGCAAGCACTGGAGATGACTCATCCTCCTGCTACATGGAGAAATACAAACATAAACTCATCAGGATAATTTTAACATCCTTTCTGGCCAAAGTTTACCCTCCTAATACACTATGGAAAATACAATATTTAAGTTGAGAGAATAAATTATTACGTCATCATCTTCGTCATCCTCATCGGCATCTGACTCATTAAGTCCAGCAGCTTTCCCAAGAAGCTTTTTCAACTCCTTGCCAGACTTGCTCAGACCACCCTCTTCTTCATTCTCTTCATCATCCTAAAAGAATCCATTGTCACAGAATATTTGTTATTCTGATAGGGAACAGTCGCACCTATGAGCAAGAAAAAGTAGCAAATAACAAAAGGGAAGAGGAAAAGCATATTTGCTTTCAAATAGGTTCACTACATTCATCATATATGGGTAGGTATTCTTCTTGTTCTAGCGGCATTTTTGCAAGAGGTGAGATCCCACAATAATGAGCTGCAAGCAATACAAAGCCTCTCTAATCAAAGAACTAGAATAGCTATCGGATACTTCTATTAGCATTGAATGAGAACCTTATAACAATGAACAGAAACTTAACACAGCTAAATCCTACTCCCTGCGTTCCAAAATATAAGGATTTCTAGGTTGTCTAGCAAGTACTAAGGTTAGGTCAAAAGATTCCTTTTTTAGCCACTTCAGTTATCAATTTTCTAATTTTGAATTGCTTAGATTCCGTTTCCAATCATCCAATTGGCTTTGGAATCATTGACATGATGGGAATCAGTGCTGGAATGCTTATATTGTGGTACAAAATTCGAATCCTAGAAATCCTTATATTTTCAAACAAAGGTTTATGACCATCATAACAAGGTATCCCACTTCTACTTCAGGTCAATTTATTTTGTTGACTGCTTTGTCATATTAAATTCAACACAAAAAGTCACATGTGGATTAAAACTGTTACATGAGACATGCATTATCAGGAGGTGTGATATCAGAAACCATATGAATATTTACAAATCAGATACTTGTCACATTGCAGTAACAGATGAGATGTCAAAGTGTGCTCATTCAAGGTATTATACGAGAAACACAAACTGTGATAACAGAACTCATAATTATTTTGAAATGAATAATCCTGTCTACCTGCTTAATTTCAGGAGGAGCGGGAATCTCAGGAGCTAAATCTGCCCGCTCCTCTGGGTCTATATCCACAGCCTCATCGTCGTCAGTGAATGTTTCTTCGTGCTCCCAGTCATCACCTGACAAGGCAATTCCCAACAGAGATGTCAATCTCAGACTTCAAAATGCCCAAAAAATATATAGGCATTGTTACTGTTTTATTCGCGTTGCACAAATTTCAGAATTGATCTTCCGCAAAAGAGCAAATGAAGCCCAATGTGATGGTGAATTGGGGATGTTATGCATTGTAGCTGAGAATTTGCTAAAAAATATATAAACACAAGTAACATGTGGAGGTCATCCAATGTAAAGAAGGCCATCAGACAAAAGGAATTACCACAAGCTTATGCTTCATGGTGTCTATAGACTCTTAAACAAATTTGATGAGAATGGCCTATAAAAAACATATCGTATTTTAAAAGTGTTACTAAATAAGTACTCTGAATCCACAACTGATTTTACATATGTCATGAAATCTCACTGGAAGAACCAAATGCATTCCAATTTTTGTCATGAAACCACACTGGCAGTACAAAATGCATTTTAAATTTTTAAGTATATTAGGCATTAATAACCTCAAACAACACATTACAGAATATGCCAATAACAAATATATATCTCTAAAAAAATTAAACATATGAAAAAGAAACTTCAGGCCAAGAAAAAGTAAAAACATCAAGGTACTATGCAATGGTAGTATAAATACAACTATTAGTTGTGTAGATCAACTGCAAAAGTATTGTTTTGAAGCAAGATTCAGAAGCACACCTTTTTCAATTTCATCATCCAAATCGAAGTCCAGATCCTTTCCACCTTCCTCATCGTCATCCATACTTTTTTTGTTGAGCGCAAGCCTATTTTTGCGTGCAGCTTCCTCTTCTTCATCCTCCTCGCCTTTATCAGAATTGTTACCCTCTTCATTATTTTTCCCTTTCTTGGGGCGGGCATTTTCTTTTTCAGTGCCATTTGTAGGCTCAAGTTTCTTTACGTCTGAACCAAAGGCAGCCGGCCCATTTGTAGCTGCTTTCATCATCCAACGTTCATAACCAGTTGCACTAGTTTTTCTCTTATTCATCTTCTCTTCAGCCTCTTCCAGGGTAAGTTGTTTGTACTGTGCAATTTTACTGAAGTTATACCTAAAAGGACATAACAAAGAAACAGATAATCAAATTAGACAATTTTATCTGACTTTCAGTCTTAATTAAAGAACTAGTAGTATTAGGACCATTGCTAAGACTATCACTGTAGTTTCTAAACAGTGTGCTTGGCACTCCCTTGGATTATAATCCAAAGCTTATTTTGAATTTTAGACCCGACTTTAGGATTAGTTTTAGGGATTTTCTTCAACACTTTTATTGCCTGATTCTTTTTCATGATCTAAGAAGGCAAGTTAAAAAAAATCCACCTACAATTATTCTTAAAGAAACAAACTTTAAAATTCAAAATTGATTTGGATTATAATATAAAGGAATGCTAAGCACACCCATGAACAACTTTTTGAAACCTACCTTTGTTGCTAACAAGGGTGAAAGCGACAAAATCACTTTAGTTTTGTCCACTAAATCATGTTTGGACATATGGAAATGGTCAAGTAAAATGTTTAATGAAATATTATCATAATATCGTACTTCTGTAGTTTTTTTAGCATATCCAAAAATATCTTCAATTTTGCATCCATGAGATTTTGACAACTTTGATTAAAAGCGAGCATCTAAAATATTGAGCAAGTCTATTACCAAGAACCAGCAGGATATGCATGAAATTCCTTGCCATGCATCATCAACAAATAGTATGTAGCTGTTGATGACTGTGATCCCTCCATTTGACCTTGATACTGATATTGCCCAGTTTCATCTTCCAAAATCCATGGCTTCCTATTGTATTTTTCCTAGTTTTGCAAAACATATATACACAAAGTTAACAGAGCCAACCAAACAAAACTTCATACAGATGTTCAGAGTTTCTATGGCTCAAAAACCCCAACCCCGTACAGAAAATGGCAACATCTGGTACAAGCAAAGTAAAATAAATTGTGGGAAGTATTTAATGTAGAAGCAATAGATCTGTGCTATCATGCAAGTTTGAATGTGACCCACTGGGTGAGATGCATTGGACTAAAGGAAAGTAGAAACCATAGTATCCCTCCTTTATTATTTTTCAATACGCCGTTATGCAAATTCTCATTCATGTGGTCCTATAGTGGAATTAAAACTGATCCATCCAAATCATGTGCGGTGGGGGGTTCACTATAACAACTAGATGTTGCCCGTAAACTATTTGAATTTGAAAGTATGGCTCCACAAGAAAGTCAAAGGGAGTAATGAAATGGAAGAGAGAAGTCATATCTTCATCAATCTATTTTGGGCCTTGCATGGTTAACTAAAAAAATACCAAAGATATTTTTTTGTCCTTCTATATTTATTCCAGTTTCTCTTTTTGACATCTTGTGTTAGCAAAAGCCCTAGCCCAATATGTCAACCACACGAAAACATATATTTGTTTAAATTTTTTACATAAAATGAAGACTAGTCTGAAACTTGACGGACCAAACCAACACCTTTTCCCCGAATGGAAATAGATGACCTCATCAGCTTTTTCGCATACCATTGAGTGTAGGTATTGGGAGATTAAAATGGTGTATAGTTATGAGGAAATGGACTATGTAATGCTACATTGGTACATCTGATAATTAAAACACTTTACCAAGACATACAGTGAAGACTGAAGATTCAAAAGTCATTTGTTTTCCAAAACAGAAAGCACATGATAAAACAGTGATTTCCATGAATGCATACCCGCATATTCTCAGGAATCTGGCGACCTTGTAACCCCTCCTTATGAAGAGACCATTTGTTTTCCGCACTCTTCTTTTTTGAGAAAGGGGGTAAACCAGTCACAAATCTTCCAATAGAGAAGCTCTTATCTGTGGTGGCATTGGCCCGTACATTATATTCCTGCAACCGAAAGATCCACAGAGGATGTCAGTGTAAGCAGATGAACCAAATAGCAAGCCACCAGAACAAGAACTTTGTTTTTCTTGAATATGCAAGAAAGCTGTGTATCATTTCATTAAGAGAGGAGGAAAGCGTGGGTAGAGAAGCAAAAGCCCTCCCTCACCCTACAAACAAACAGGACTTATGGTTACATGGAAAAACAACAAAAAATGACCTCGCCCAAGCGGGGTTAGCGACCTACTAAGGAACCCCCTGAGCTTAGAAGCTCCAGACATACACCAAAAGACACACTCATTAGCCACCGTTTGGATGACAGTCATTACATTAGGATGGACGCTGTTAAACACGCGGTCGTTTGTATGCTTCCAGATTTCCCAAGCCACCAAAATGATAATCAAATTGAGACCTTTTTTGAAATCCTTGTTTGCGCTGTAGACAAAACTAAGATTGTTTGCACTGACAACAAGAACTATGAACTGACAGCCCACATTGTTTGCACTGTGGACAAAACTATGATTGTAAGTGAATAAAATCCGAGAGAGTAACCACAACATTAATTCGTACCGGGACAAACAGTGTGAAATGAACATCCTGAAATCTAGTAAAAAACAAATCTTGATGACAAATTTTCTCTTCCTATTCATTCATTTCATATCTTCTAAAATATTCATGCATTTCATATCTTCTAAAATGAATTGTTCTGAAACAGGAAACTGAATCACCCATTTCTAATCCGATTAATGGAGCTTCTTCACAAGTCTACGTCAAGCCGCAACCTTTATGTTCAGAATTACTCCACAAGACCATGACAATATCAATATGGGTCCATAATACATCGAAGAGAATTCAGCTCATGAAGGAGGTCGTGTTGGAACCCTAAATTATACCATCAAGCATCACGATTCCCGGACTATCCCCCAATGACCCACCCAAAAGGGCACAAATAGAGCAGCGCACGCAGCCGGAAACCCTAGATCGCGAGCGCGGGCCACAACCCCCATAAGAAGGCACGGCACGGGAGAGCGGAAACGGAGGGGGAGGGGGGATCCATACATACCCTGATGAGGTTGGTGATGGGGGCCGAGCAGACGAGGCAGCGGGCGCCGGAGAGCGCCATGGATTTGCCGCAGGAGCTGCAGAGCGTGGTGTGCTTGCACGACGTGCCGTAGAGGTCCGACGGCGAGCCGCAGCCCTCGCACGCCGCCTTCAGCACCAGGTCGGCGCTCCCCATCGCCGGAGAGGGGCCAGCCACCGGAGAGGGGGGAGGGGAGGGGCGGGGCTACGGCGCCCCTTCCGGCGAGCGGAGGTGGGGGATCGCGGCGGCGGTGGCGGCCGGTTTGGGTCGTCTCTCGTGGAGTGTGGGTGTGCGGGTGGTGGGGTGGCGTGAAAATGGAAACGGGAACGGGGTCGGTTTGCTGCTGCTGTCTGAGCACTAGGGTTCGGTTGGATTTTGTACCGGAGAGACCAGAGACGGATTGGATCGGGCTGGGCTGGGCCCATGTGGTGTTATCCACTCGGATGCCCCTGGGTCTGTTAAGTTTTTTTAAGAAAAATTAACGTCTCTTTTCTTTTTTTTGAGAACTTTTAATTAATTAACGCCTGTAAAGCCTTTTTAAGCCTACAGTAGTGTTACTCGCTCTGTGTTATGTCTGATTTTTTGGCTTCAGTTAATAAGTACAATGAATGCTGAATGAAATGTACACATGATAGTTTTGTATGTATATACATGGACAGACAGAGTGTTCTGAAAGCACTATCAAAGGCTTCAGAAGCTCTAGCCCGCCACGTAGGACATCTGCTGCTATGGAAGAGAGAAATACGTGGAGACCATATCTTGACTTGGAAGCTCAGGCCTTACTTGAGGCACGAGTTCTTCAGCAGAAAAAGGCAAGGAATTATCATGCTGCGGTCCCACCCAAGCTCAAAAGCTATTCAAAAGATGACACAAGCATTATGGAGTGAATGACCTATTTCAGTTTTAGATCTACTTGGTAGCATCGGTCGGGCTAGAGACACGCGTAGCGTGCCCTGCACTGCTATTGGCCTCATGCTGCAATGGCTTTTGGTTACTAATCTAGTCATGATTTGTTTAATTAATGGTAGATTCATTCGTATGTTTTGCAGCTCAAAAGTTTATTGAAGAATGAGTACGCCAAATTTCAAGCAACACAGGACAAGTTCTGCAAGGAGAAAGCTGCTCGCATACAAAATTTCAGTGGTATGTCAGAATCCAGATAAGAGATAAACGGCCACATATTGTGATATGTGATAATTTTTAACAGTGTCTTTATCTGGCTCATGTCATGCTCAAGTTGCTCAAGTTGTTCATAATACTTAGGGTGAGATAGAATCTACCCTTTCTCCAACCTCTACTCTCTCTTTTTTATCTGTGCGCTTCCCAAACTGGTAAAAGATGTGTTTTTACAAATATTTTCTATATGAAAGTTGTTTAAAAAATCATATTAATTCATTTTTCAAGGTTATTTTAGCTAATATTTAATTAATCATGCGCTAATGAGTCACTCTGTTTCGCATGCATAGGGAGAAGTTCCGAACCGGAATATTCAATCTTAGATTATGTCTTACTCCCTCCGGTTTTATTTTAATTGACGTTTTAGACAATGACACGGTCTACAAAATATGTCTTTGACCTTATTTTTCTATTATAATATATATAATAAATAAATGTATGTTTATTTTTATTATAGTGCATTGAAAGAAATCTATATATGTTGTTATAATTCCTTTAAACTAAATATTTTTAAAATTATTGATGGTCAAAGTTATAAAAGTTTGACCTCAGCCTTGTCTCAAACGTCAATTAATATGGAACCGGAGGGAGTAGACTTCAACTCCAAACTACAGCTCTCTCATTTACTGTAAGTGCGCTTCTCGAACTGCTAAATGGTGTTTTTGCAAAAAAAAAATACATAGAACTATTCCTTTAAAAAACAAATAAACTCAATTTTTATGTTCGTGATATTAATACTTAATTAATCAGAAACTAATGGTACTTTCCATTTCGCGTGCAGTACAAAAAGCAAAAGTTAAATGAGATCTCAAACGCAACCTAGTCCTTTGTTCATATTGCTTGATCCTATATCTTTAGTTCTCATCTTGCTCATGCCACGTTTTTTTTAAGAAATTTGCTCATGCCACGCATTTGATGATCGAAAAAAGTGCATCTAGGCTCCCTAGTGGGTTTTGGCTAATTGATGAGAAACGATTAAAGGAATAATGCAATTATTAAGTGATAAGCAGGCATTATTAGTTCCTAAAGTGAGTAAAGAAAACCTTCAAAGCAAAAGAGTTGAAGTGGAAAAGATTCGAACAAAGTTTTGAAGATAGAAGATCAAGCTGCCCTGAATTTGCATAATGTAGGACAGTCCTGTGTGGTACAAGACAGTCCACACATATGTGTCGGAAAATCCGGCAACAGTTGATCAAATTGTCTAGTGGTTGTAGGACAAATGGTGTTAGACAATCTAGTGCGGTACCGGATTGTCCGACTCCCTCTAGATGTGTGAGACCCTCAAGAATAAGGTTGTAGACCACGAGATAGCGTGTTACCGGACAGTATGGCCGAGTACCGTACTATTCAACATGTTATGAAGCGGCTAGAAGTGAACGTTGGAGAAGGCGATATCAGATAGTCCAAGAGCAGTCAGATTGTCCACCACTTTATGGCCCGATGGCTACTGGTTCAATGACCGTTGGAAAAGTATAAAAGACCGGATAGTTCGGACGGTACCAGACTATTTGACATTCGCGACGTGTGCAGGTCCTACGTCCGTCCATAAGAGATGGTCTGCAGCTGTACCAAATTTTCACTTTTTCCCTACTATCTTTACCTTTCTTTAAAAATTCGAATACTATCTTTATTACTTATTTAAAAAATTCGAAGTGTTTATGTTTCCTTGTCCGTTGCTATGTCTGCTTGTCCGTTTTATTAGTCACTACTGGTGCAGGATAGGATTGGATCGTTCCCGCACCACCACACGCGTGTCATCTCATATCACTCCTACGAGAACTACAGTCCACCATGCGCCCATCTCCATGCTAGTGAGAGAAAATAGGAACCCTAGTCTACACGTATGTGTAACGCCCGACGGGTCGACCACCACTGTCCAAGCATCCACCATGAGTAGTGTGTGTACGTCGCATCGATAACAAGTACGTATGTAAATCTCACATCAACCATCATGATTTTTATCTTGTTTTTTATGAAAGGCATTAGCCCTACTGTTATGGATATCAAGGGCCAATTCACTCAATGGACCAAACTTATGGCTGATCTCACCAAATGATTTCTAATTTGAGATATATGTGGATAATATGTTGTTGGAGAATAGATAGCATATCAGAGGCGTTTATATATAGGGAGTTGGTAGTTTATGATTTCACCACTCACACATGTTAGTCTTCATCAGCTTGAGTTGTGTTGTTATGAAGCGTTATGGCATTATTTTTTTTTACGAAAGAGCAAGAGTCTTGCAGCTGGAGCTATCTTGTTGAAATTGGTTTCGTCGCTGCCGTCAAGGATGCCTGTGGAGTGGAGTTGCCCGCTGCAGAAGTCAAGCTTTCAAGTCTAGCTTGTTTTATCTTTTCCGCTGCATTTGTAATCTTTTATATTTTTGTAAGACGTAGATCTATATATCAACAATTGTCTTTTGTGTATCCTGGCTGGTCCTGGACAGAGATTTAATGTACATTCAGCTTAGAAATTTTGGTTCGTGAATTTCTGGGCATGACAAAAGCTAGCCCAGTTGGGATTACTTGTGTGATGCAGTGCCCAACCCATGACCCAAAGGTTCATGATGCCCAACCTCATAGCTCCTTAGGTCGGGAAATTTTGGGCCATGCAACTAGGCTTCAACTCCCGCTGTGGACTGACTCCAAACCCTTCCAAAGGAAAACCCTCACCACTTGTCGACGGCTTTCAAGACCCAATCTGACAACCAATAGCCAAAGATGGGTGCATTGGGATGGAGGAAAGGATAGATTGAACTGCATACCATTACTAAAAGCCTCCCATTACAAGCTAGCAACCAGTTATGGATTGAATCCACAAGAGGCTGAAGGCTGTCCCAAAGTAGCTTCGTCGCGGAGCATGGGATGGCCAAGTACTTGCATGGAAAATTCACGATATAACAGGGAAGGATGTGCGAGACCAAGGTCAACTCATCCTCTAAACATTGGATTGGATAACTAGAGGCCTCCCCAAAGCAGGAGAGAATCGTCTTGATTGCATCCAAATCTTGAGAAAGAGGACGATGTCATCCGCGTAGAGAGACACTCTATGCTTGATGGTGTGACATCAAGTAGCTGAAAGATGTTGAGCTCACCTGCCTTCTGGATGAGGGCATTAACCATGCCCATCACTAAGATGAATAACATAAGGGAGAGAGGATCACCCTGACACCCATGCTGGTGACAAAAGCGTAGATTGAGTACACTGTTGAGCAGGACACGCGAGGAAGAGCTTGAAGAATGATTCAGCTGCTCCAAAATGTCAATGAGAAAGGGCCAACAAACCATATCAAAGGCCTCCATGATGTCCACTTTGAGAAGAAGCCACGAACACCGACGACAGTGGAGTGCCTTGGTCGCCAATTGAAGGTAGCAGGAGTTGTCATGGATGCAACGATCTTTGACAAAGGCACTTTGGTTGACCTTGACTAGCTAACCGAGACAAGGGGAGAGCCGCGAGACAAGGAGTTTGGAAAAGAGCTTGCCAAAGCTATGGATTAGACCAATAGGCCAAAAATCCTTGATGAGTATGACACCATCCTTCTTTGGGAGGAGAGTGATGAGAGCACAATTGAGTTTGTAGAAGCCCTGACCGTTAGTCACATGCGGAGCGTTAAGCGCTGACATGATCTCCTTCTTGGTGATGGGCCAGCAACTCTTGTAAAAATGGTCGGTGGACCCATCCGACCAAGGAGGTTTGTTTGAAGGCATCTCTCTAATGACATGCCGAACCTCCTCCTCGTTGAAAGCAGCATCAAGCTCTGCAAGCTGGATGGAAGGGATCGCAAGAGCTGAGTTGATCGTCCAATCCCGTGCTACTCGGCCACCCATGATAGTACAAAATTAGGAGAGAATAAAATCTGTAGTTTGTCATGGCAGGTAGTGAAATGATCACCATTCCTAAGCTAGACGATGAGATTCTTCCGCCACCGTGAATGGACATGTATGTGAAAGAACTTTGTGTTCACATCACCTTCTTTGAGCTGTCTATGAGAGAACACTAGTGGGTGATTGTCCTCTCCTGGGAGGCCTGTAGGATCACACAAGACCAAACAAACCTACCAGAGGGGGTGAATGGTAGGGAAGACCAAAAACCCAAAAATCTTTTGCGGAATTAAAGATTACCCTCAAACGAAGTCGATGACGAAGTCCAGTCGCCGCCAGTCAAACCGCCCACC